TACTAGCTCTCCACACAGACAAGCCTGGGGCAAAGTTTATCTTCCCAGTTTTGGGTTAGAAGTGTGGTAGCTGGTGTAAGCAGCTAAGCAGGCAAGCAAACAGATAGTTCTATGGCCTGTACTTCCTTCCCACTTGAAACTCTTAGGATGCAGCTCCTCCCAATTAGCAACTGGGCCCAAATCACTATCTCTGTCTTTATCATGTGATGAACAGAATCCCTCCCTAGCACATCTGGCAATGTGGAAAAGGCTGCTGTCTCCCTTACATTACCATGGACATTTAAATATGGAGAGCCTCTTTTAGGAGTGGCTCTATTCAGAAGCACAAATAAGACAGAACAAAACAAAAAATGATTCAGAGAAACCAAATCATGCACCTAAGCTTTGCAGGCATGCTCTTCAAGGGCTGCCTAAGTAGATGCACAGTGTGAAGTGTGTTCACTGTGCAGCCAATTCAAGCACTACCTCACCACTTACTGATCTCCACAGGAGACAAGCCTCAAGCATTAGAAGCTCACACTTTTGTTTTCCCATTACTCTTATTTAGTGCAACCAGCAGAGGCGTCCAGGCTGCTTTACCAACTGCTGAAATTCAGGGATGCCGGATACATCCAACCCAACCTAACACTCTGAGATCACAGAAGATGGCTGGTAAGTGATGTGCAATTGCTAAATATTCTTATTACTCTTATGAGTCCTTTTGTGGATACTCCATTTTCTCAATATGATACATTTGAAGGCTTGTGAGCACAATGAAACAACCACGTAGCATTAACACCGAATTAGCTTACTTGGCTGTAAAAAACCATCAAGTTTATCTGGGAATGTCACCACATCTGTCCCAATTGTGTGTGCAGCCAAAACTGTAGGAATTTCTCCAATCTCTCCTTTTCTTGTATTGGCCAGCATGCTCTAATATCTACCTGAATCTCAAGACATGGTGATTTGAACATTTATCTCCATCAGCCATCTGTACAATGCATTCAAACTCTGCCATGTTGAGTAACAGCATAACTTCATGTTGTACTTCCTCAGCTACTGGAGCCAGCTAATTCAGTTGCTGATGTAGTTAACACAGCAGGTGGGATATAAATGTCAGAATTGTCATAACAGAGGGAAAGCAAGAGGATTTAGAAACACGGGATGGGTACCACAGTCCTTTCCACAAAGGATGTTTTCTTTATCAAGTTATCAAGTTATACCTTGAAATATAAGTAAGCCACAGGCTGAGGGAGCTGGGCTTGTTCAGCCTGGAGAAGGGTGTGGGTTGACCTCATTGCAGCTTTCAGTACCTAAAGGGAGCTTACAAAACACGAGGGTGAAAAGGTAAGGGTAGATAACAGCAGGACAAGGGGAAATGGTTTTAACTTGAAGGATGGAAGATTTAGGTTGGATATCAGAGGGAAGTTCTTTACAGAGAGATTGGTGAGGTGCTGGAACAGCTGCCCAGAAAGGCTGTGGATGCTCTGTCCCTGGAGGTGTTCGAGGCCAGATTGGATGGGGCCCTGGGCAGCCTGGTCTGGTACTAAATGGGGAGGTTGGTGGCCCTGCATGTGGCAGGGTGGTTGGAGATTCATGATCCTTGAAGTCCCTTCCAACCCTGGCCATTCTAAGATTTGATGATTCTATGATTCACATTATAGAAAAGAAGTATGGGATGGTTGGTTAAGGACAGAAAAGAAAATCCATTATTTGTGTTGCTTTGGGATCATAAGGATGATTGAATAATAACACTTTGACCATTCCCATTATTTCTCCAAGGGAACAAAGAAGACAATAAAAAGTCTTGTATTGGTTCTCATTTGACCATAAAATAAGTTAATAAACAATAGGCCTGGGCAAGAGAAATTCATCTTGTTTTTTTGATTCTTATAAGAAAAAGATCCTGAGGTTTCAAAGTCTAAACAGTAAGTTAATTGAAATATGAAATAACGTTTTTTTGATTGAGAAAATATAATAGTAATCATGATGTCAGAAAACTGCTGTAGGCACTACCAGTTACTGCTGCAAGCAGGAGAAGCAGCTGTGTCCCACTAAAGTTTCACCCAATTGGTCTTACCCAGCTGGTGGCTGCTGTGGAGTTTGGTGCTGCACACGTTTTATTAAATCACCAAAGCTATCATTTAAATTATTTGAAACATGTAAAAAAGATTGTTTCTGGTTTTGAAAATCCTACATGAGAAAAATGCACCATGGCTCTCAATTTAAGTGAAAGTTTAAGTCTCAATTTAAGTCTCAAATCTCAATTTAAGTCTCAAGTTAAGTGAAAGAAACCAACATGTTTTGTATTTGAAACTGTGATTTGTTTTCCTTGTCCAGAATACTGCAGCGTACAAAAGAATGACGCTGTTTCACAATATGTTTCCCAGGTCAAAATAAATGTATCATCAAATTGGCCGTGAGGAGAGTCAAGGGAATTAAACCACAATGCTCTTCAAGACTTTGCAGATACGGAACAATAAATACTTCTCTCAATGTATGGAAGCCTTTGTGATTCGTCAAACTGCCCACTCGGTGTCTCTTTACCATAGGAACTGTCCACAGATCATTTCTCCTCTGAAACTCCTTCTGCGCAGTACTTTCTGCTGATTAAACTTGTTGTGTCTATACTTTGGGGGTAACACTGGTGTATGAGAGAAGGAGACATCCCAAGTGACAGCCTGGGCAAGCACAGCTTCTGCCAGAGCACCTCATTAGAGCACCCAGGCTGAAGTCACTCTCTTACTGGTGCTGTACAGTCCAATTTAATTGGGATAAGGGACTGATACACCACACTGCTCTTTCGACAAGCAGAGTAAACTCATTCTGTCCATCACGGTGCTTGTGTGGTTGGATTTTTTTATTATTATTTTAAGGCTTAACAAACACTATTGGGGAAGGAAATGCAAAGCAGAGAGCGTTTCCTTGTTCAAAATGCCAGATATTTCATATGAAAGCTGCATATTTTTCTCACCTCAAAACTCCTCTCTTTTCTTTCCCCCCAGAGCTGTTGGCTGTAAGTGCCTCAGTTTCTGGTGTCCCCCCTTCTGGTGGGAGAAGTTCCAGAACATGGAGTTCTAAATGAAACAGACTGTGGATCTTCTCAGGTTGGACAAATTACAGCTGAGATAAATTTGCCATGCTGGTTGAAACAAGGAGTTTGGGGCAACCTGCTTTCCATGGTCACTGCTTCTCATTTGTCATTCTGAAAAGTTTAATACAAATAGGCAAATCCCCAGTGCTCCATTGAGCTTCCACTGTTCACTGAGAGGCAATGCTGTTTTGAGAGCTAGTTCAGAGCTTCAAAGTATTCTCAAAAGGCCCCTACCACAATGCATGAAAAAATGCTTGTGCTGAGTTATACCTGTTGCCTTCTACCTTTGTGATGGACTTCTGCAAAGACCCTAAGGCTGTTTTAATGAGTTTTGCTTAAGTTTTGGTGCTGACTGGCACACTGTCCTGCACAAGAAATGCATAAGAATGAAATAAAAGAAGACATAAATCTGAGCAACTTTTCTATAGTGAACCAAATCTAATTGCTCTGTTAATAACAAAAGATTTTGGCCTTCAGAGGGCAGAAATGCCTCACACACACACGCACACACATATAATTAATCTTATCTACGTAACTAAGCTATGAATCTCTAAAAGTTTAAGACACAGAATCAGGTTGGTGCTCATATTATTTTTCTTCATCTATCCTTAGTATTCTTCTATCTTCCCCCTCCCTCCTCCCTTTTCTTCTTTCCAACTAAAAAACCAGATTCTTTACAATTATTCTTTCTAATATGACTCAAATATATTCATACTGAATCATATTCTGAGGACTAGTGAAATCTGGTTGATCAGGAAATGAGGCTGATGCATTTCAGAAGTTTGTGAGTCAATTTAATATTGAGTTAAGTGGGACTTTTATGCCAGCAGAGTTGGAATAAACAGAGTTATTGCCACACATTCCTTCTGCACATTTGGCCTGGATTCCTGCAAGCTGTAAGGCTCTAACTTTGGTTAATCACCTCTGAAGTTACATTGCACAGTCATTCTCTGAAGCTGAAACATGGGGTTTGGGAAGATACATACATATATATATATATATATATATATATAAACTTAAAGAATGGCATTGTTACGCTAACAACTGCAGCTCTTTCATTATTTTCTGCTACCACCTTTGTGTATACTGTAAGATACCCCAAATGTGGGTATCTTACATGGAAACAAAAGAGCTTGTATTTAAAAAGAAGAAAAAAGAGTTGGGCAAAGACCCTGAAAACGAAAGCAAAATGGTAACAGTGCACCATGGCTGGGTAACCCTGTTTTCAAACAAATAGGCTTGTTAGAGATAAGGAGAGACCAAGTGAGAAAGAAGTGTGAGAAAATAGGCTGAGAGGGTGCTTCTCAAAGATTCTGAGATTACATGATGCCAGGGTTAGCACTTCCCGTGACAGAAATAACAAGTGGGGTCACATGAGATAAGGGGAGAAAAGAAAAAGGTTTGTGTTTAGCATCAAGATCCATTAGAATTGACCACCAAAAAAATAATCTTCAGAACCCCCAAATTAGGAGTACAAGAGCTCATATCAACCATATTTCATCAGAGAACAGAAGATAACTCAGTTCCATAGCCTGCTTTCATTCACATTTTTAGGAAACAACTTCAGATGTGTCATTCATTTGTTTACTGTCTGTTGTGCCACACATAGTAGCTAACTTGATACGAAAGAGTGGTCTTAAAAGATACTTCCTGTGTTTTCTTGCTAGCCTCGATTTCAGCTCCTTTTAATAGCAGAATGCTATCCCTAGCCTGTCTCTAGCTTTCAATCTTGGAAGACCTTGTCATACAGGCATCAGAATGTAACATCCCATTCTAAATATACTTAGATCTTTACTCTTCTGTGGGTCATGCTGTTCTTTCCAGTCTGCCTAGTTTTAGTAATCAATCAACACATTAAGAAGGAAACAAGAAGCAAGTAAAAATCATGAAGAAAATGAGATGTAATATAAAAATCACAGTAACTCACAGTTGGGCTTTCTTTGCCTTTGCTGTCTTTACTGGAAGGTCCACTCAGCTGCTCAATTAAACTGAAATGTGTTAATTGTTCAGGTCCATCCTCTCCAAAATGGCCATAGAGACTGTGTTGGTATAAATCCAAGATTGACATTGGGTTCCCCAGAACTGACCTTCTCTGCTTCTGCTCTTCCTGCTCAGCTGTAAAAGACATTAAAAATAATGTCAGTAAGGCATATTTACTTGATGAAACACAGCCTAAATAAATTATAATGTAATTTTACTTTTTTTTTTTTTTTTTTTTAATATTTTAAGGTATTTGGAGTTCAATGGTAATAAAAGAATTAGAATACTAGCTGCTAACTCTCCAATCAATACGCGTAGAATGGACTGTTCCTATCTAACACAGGGTGAAGGAGATGGCTAAAATACATTTTCTTTTTGTTTTTTCTTTTAATATAGAAAGGTTGGTTAATTTGGAAGGATTGCTCCATTTATTTATTTGCTGTAAGTTTTCATTCTCCATTCTCACTAGCCTTACATGGCAGATACGCTAAGCTCATTTTTAATGTCCTTCAGTTGGACTACTGATAATTCTTTCTTTGTAACTACATTTTTAGCCAAGGAAAACAACAGTATAAAACATAGTCTAGCAAGGTTAAGAAACAGGCCCTACTCATTTGTTATATATCTACTGCAATACAAGAACATTACGAGTACAACCCCAGCTTCCAAAGCCCAAAGATCAAAACTCATACTTAAGATCAAAACCAAAGAAGTTTTCTGCAGCTTCACGAAAAAACACAGGGGAGAGAGGCTTAAATGATCATTAGACTCTTTCCTCACACTTTTTGTTACACAAACTTCAATTCTAACTTGTAACCTATAGCATTAGAAGAGCCTCTGCCTCCAGTGCCTCCCATAGAATCACAACAGAACAAAACCTCCATGAAATTGGAATGAAAACATTCTCATGGTTGAAATGGAAGAACCCGGAACTTTTGGCTTATTCCAAGCTATTCTGCTGACTTTCTCTGTAACACTGGGCAATGCACTGGCAGTCTCCTCCAAAGCCCACCAAATCAGTGAGGCTCTTATCACTGGCTTTCAATAGTCTTTGCATTGAGCACTCAGTCTATCAGTCTTCCCATTCCCCACACATAAATGGAAAACGAAAATCACTCCAACATTAGAATACTGCAACAAGGGAAAATTCATTAATGTTCTGAGGACTCATCTAGTAAATATAATTATCTATGCATACAAAAAACGTTCACTGTGACTCAGTTTGCTACAGCCCCCACCTCAGCCTCATGTGGTTGTTTTGAGGATATATCACTTGTATGCATAAAGAAGCTAGGATCTTTGAACACAGAATGGAATAAAGTACTGTTAATAATCTGCATGTGGGAACTGTATTTATAGGGCAGAAATCCTGTTTAAAAAGAACAACCGTGGCAGAAATACTTCTGCAATAATGGCTTGTAATTCTATTTGCCTCAGTCACAATTATGAATTTCAGTTCTTTTACTAGCCCAAAGGTTAGGCACATATATTAAAAATTATGGTTTGCTATGCAAAATGGCAATTTTAAGTTCTGTTTATGTATCACCAAACTTGGAACCTGGTGTCATTTAATGCAACTGCTTATACATGCTGAAATCCTTATTTTTGCAAACTGTGATCAATACCGGAAGAAATCCTTACCTTCTCCTTTGAAAAAAAGCCCAAGAAAACAACAACAAAACCCACCAGAGAATGTAATCTGTAGCAAGCAATCCTTTTTATTGGCTGAGGTAAATTACTTGCAACATTTCATACAGATTAAAACCACAAAGTTACATGAGTAATGTAAGTAAACAGCCTGAGCTTCTTGCTCTGCTCTGCCTGTGGTGTAATCACACAAAATGGATCCTCTCTGAAAATGCCAATTGTTTCCGCCCAGCTCCCAGCAGACACTACAGAGCACAGTGTGCTTGCCCACAGCATCTCAATGTCCGTGGCACTTTTAATGCAATCATCTCTGCGGTATCTACTGTAGGTGCTAATATCTGGTAGGTTAAGCTCACTGCTGTGCTGGGGGTCAGCATAAATCCTCTGTATCACTGAAGCACTGCTTAAGCTCTTAGAGCTTCAGTGGTGCTGAGACCTTGCACTGGCCTTTGCACTCGACAGGGAAGGCAATGGCTGTGTGGGTGAGGAGATGAGCCACGCTCTGCTCCCCTCCCAGGGGACACACAGCTGCACTGCAGGGTGGCTTGCAGCACGGCGAGCTGGTGGGCATGGCAAGGCAGTTATTAAACACACAGAAAACTATTACGTCGAGAGCTTTGCTTAAGGTGCTTCCATCTACTGGAATTCAGTAAACGCCGAATTGCTACCAGATGCTGTGGAAAGGTTTGATACTTGAAAATGGCAACATAAATATGGAGTTGTGCATATGCACAGTTGTGGTGGCATCACAACTAACAACACTTTGATACAGAGGTTGGAATGCTATGGCCTTGATCATTGAGTTATTATAACCAGCTAATAAAATTTAAAAAGTAAAAAGAGGAAAGAATCTTCATAGCCACCTTTTAAATTTTGTAATAATGGAACAGAAGACTTTTTACTTACAGTGCAGTTATTTGTACATAAAAGCCTAGAAGTTTAGCTCCTGGTAGCAAAAATAGCAGAGGAGAGGGGAAAAAAAAGATACACAGATATAATAGAAAGCAATAAAAAGCTAATGGAAAATCAGACTGAAGTAAGATCTGGGGTTAGAAAGCAAAAACTAGGCAGTCCAGTGAAGGACATTATCTGTTGCTGAGTCAGAGTGGAGATACACATTCCTTATGCAGACATTTTCAGTTACCTTGTTTGTTGCTCTTTGTTAACTCTACTAACGTCTCCTTTGCAGTTCGAAAATAATTTGTTCCATACTCGGGCTCCGGTTCAGTGTCACTGCTGCTGGCAGAATAAGTGCACACTCTTAGAGCTCTGTCCTGCACAAGTAAGGGTATTGAGATCATTCAGATGATGCAAATATATAAAAATAATGCAGAAGATGGTATTGTGAGTGGAAAATTTTATATTCTTCATGCAGTGGAAATGGATAACTCAACTGTTAAAACATCTTTTACTATTTTAATTATCCACCTATCCTTCAAGTAAGTAATCATCAAATACTACCTACTATTGTAACCTCAATTGCCTATCAAGACTCAAGAGAGTTTTAAAATGTATTTTTCAAAGAGTGACATCAATTTCCCCATCTTCTCATGCACACTGCAGCTTTAACTGATGCTGAAGGACATTCATTAGATAGGAAGCACATACTTGTGGAGTGAGTATCAGTCCTGAGGGATTCTGCATGCAGCCAAATATGCCCAACACTGCTCATAAAACAGGGAGTATCCAAGCCAGCTGCAGTGCCAAAGCCACATTCACACATCAGATGCAGACACACCAAGGTCTTGACTCTACACAGACCAATTACCAGTACACACGTAGCATATTAACATGGTCTGGGGACTGGGGGTGACCTGTTGTGCCTGAGTTAAGGTGGATATCACACTCATGTTGTCATGACTAGGAAGCCAAAGGTGTTGCACTACAGAGGATTCACTGCCAGTTTGCCAATAATACACAAGCAAACCATTTTTCTTTCTGTTTCCGTCCTAAATATCCATAGCATGGACTATATAAAAATGTGAGCTACTCCAGTCAGTAAATAAATGGATAAAGCAGACATGCACAAAAGTTAAGCAACCAAAGGTTTTCAGCCTCTTACAATGTAAGTCCTATTAGCCAGCAGTCTGACAGCTCCCTTGCCTTAATGCCCACTATCTGGAGTAAGTTTTTCTTGCTATTGGCTAACCTGCTGACCCTGTGCTTCTCACAGGGCTTGACAGCCTGGCATTCCTGAATATGAATAACAACCATCAGCTGTAGCTTTTACACAGGAATATACATTTGCCTCTTCGTTCTTTCTGCAGTTTTCATGAAAACGCTGAAGGACAGACAGATCACTGCAGAGATTAACCACAGCCACATGGAAACATGTAAAAAGAGAATACTTTCTCTTTCACAGTACTTTCATAGCACACCTGCTCAATCACGCACACTACATTACACAGCCATACAGACAAGGAAAAACAGACCTGGGGGTGGGAGGGAACACAACATATCTGAATTTCCAAAGGAAAACAAACAAACAAGATCAAATTTCTCTAAGAGAAAAACACGGTAAAAAGGTATCAATTTCCTTGTCTATAAAATGCCTGTGCATTATAATTAATCATAATTTGTAAGGCATGAGGACAAAGTGCCTCTCAGTGCTGTATTATTAATAAACAATGAGATTGCCAATGAAGGGCAAAAAAATAATAAATGTAGCTATTAGATTGTTAGCTAATCTTTCCACTGTATTAAGAACATTCACCATTTCTGATTCTTCACACCACAGTACATATCTCATTTAATAGATGACATTTCTTAACTGATACCTTTGTTTTTGTAGTTTTCTTGGTTGTCCAATCTGAAAGAGCTTTTCTATTTTCTACAGTTTCTTCAGTAAGCTCTAATGAGGTAGAGGTCACAGAACTTGGTTCTCGTTCACTTTGCTTTGCAAGGTTAATTATTCCTGAATTAAGAAAGGCATTATTTAAACTGTAGGTCTCATCGCCATCTTCATGAGTGCTTCAATTTTAATTCAGTAAAAACTGAGTGCTAATCATGAAACTTGTATTACTTCAAATTATGTTTAGTTTCTTACTGGAATGACCCTAACAACTACAGTGGCAGAATATTATCCCAAGCCTTTTTCCGCTTAATGACAGGAGAAGAAGGCATAGATTGTAATCTCTCTATTAGTTTTGACATATATACTCTTTCAAATAAGAAACAATACACAATAACTTCTTCCAGGCATTGTATGTTCTGCTTTGCTATTTTATGTTCTCAGAGAGAGAACAGGGTGTTAACATAAATATAATTAGAAGTACCTTTGTAGCAGAAACTCTCAGTCAGTTAGCCTTTTTATTTGCTATATTTGCACTATGCAAAATCAGAACATCAGAGAAGATATACAGCGCATATGAAATAAAGTGATAATTGAAATTTGGAAGAGAGAGAGAAGGAAGAGGAAAAGAATCAGTGGAAAACAATCTGGTGAAGAATGAGTTGACCCTACCATCTCATGTATACTACTTTTTTAACATCTCTTCATGACAATTTAATTAAGATACAAACTTTACAAGTTTGGTGCAGTGAATATTAACATTAGGATCAGAACAATCTTACAGCAACTGACTTCTTATGAAGCAATTCAGTGGTTGCAGTTCCTATTCAATTTGTTATAATGACAGTGTTTAATCATGGAGTCTACTCTATAGCACACTGCTGAATTGAGGTCACACATGTGGCTATTCAAGCATGCAGCATATAATCTATAACTAAGATTTCTCTTCTGAATCCTTCTTAGCTGTACCATTAATTAACGGTACATTTATTTAAAATATACTAAGTACTAAAATATCTTTTATTTAGCTTTGATTTGAAATGAGCAGAGCAGACTGCAATAAGGCATACAATGTGTGTTTGCAGATTATTATACCATTACAACACCACAATGGGAATATTGCTTAATCAACTAGTTCTAAGGCGTTTAATTAAGATTCTGCTGTTATGCATCTGATGAACATATAAAAGAGACTTCTTTCCTCCTAGGCTCAATCTCCATCAGCTCATTAACAGAACACATATTTGATGGACTTAAACTAAGTTTAAATTTCATATTTAACCTTCCATGTTAATTACATGGAATCTCAGTTATATGGACTCATGGAAGTTAAGCGCTCACAAGTTGTACAGGGGCAAATACGTTTGTTGACACAATGCTAACAAGCATAACACCAATGACACTGCATTTGATCAAGATAAAAACAAAACAAAACACAAAATACACTCTTCTCCATGAAATCAATTACTATTAGTGTTTTTTCCCCCATGTCTATTGCACAGACTATGCAAAACTGCATTACAAAATAAATGCTGTGTGTAATGATTGGCATATATATTAGTAACTCAGAGGCCTTCAATATATTCAAAAAAAAGGTCAGTGGACATTTGTAAGGGATTGCACTGAGTTCAATGCAACTATGTACTAATATAAAGTTACGTGTTGATGGTTTGCTGGACTGTAAGTCTGTTCATTGCTTTGTCAGCTTTCCTTTTATAGTCCATAGTAAACACAGACTTGGTAGACAAGTTAAAGTGAGGTACTTTACGTTCATATAAATAAATATATTTGTACCATGTATTAAAAAAATAATAAGAGTTCCTTTGAGGCCCAGGCCATATATTCAGAATTTATGCATTGAGGCCAAATGAATATTTTGTCTCAGTGCAGCTTCAAAAGCAAGTCTTTGTGGATATGTCTTTTCTGTGTCACAACATAGCTATTCTTTGTACTTTGCTATAAAGTCTGATCCTGTATACTGCTGAACATCTGTATTCTTATTCAGTTCAAATTCCAAGGCTGGCGTATGTTTTTTTCAAGTACTGTTTCTTGAGAAAACGATTTAAGTACTTAACACATTTTTCTTCCTTGGTTACAGATAAGCATTGTGTGTAACAAAATTTCCATATGGCTCAGGTCACAAACTTAACCTCACGCATTCCTAAAAGCAATATTTTCTGCACTGCATTTAACATTTCTGTTATCAATCGTCATTATTATAGGACTTCTGCTTATCTAAACAGACATCAGGACAGAAATAATGCGATTTTCAGTGTAATTGACATTTTACCTGAGGAATCTGGTTTTGGAAGGCGACTCTGAAAAGGTCGTATACCTTTGGCAGTGATGGCTGGATCAGATGTTGAGTGACTAATTATGCTTTCCACAGACTCCTGACTCATAGCTGTTGAAGGCACTTCTCGCTCAAGAGTTTTGGCTTTTACTGAAGGAGCTGAAAGAAGAACTTGCTCAGACGGTGCGAGGGCTTCTGTTTCCAAGGTCGATTCCTGCTTAGACACGTGTCGCCCCGCAGATCGGTTCCCTGAGTCGGGGAGTGGGAAGGTTCCAATCCCACTGTCCAGCGTCCTCATCTGGCAGCAAGACTCTAAGGGACAGGAAAACTGTGATGCGGTGGAGTGAAAGAAGTGGCTGGTTCTTAAAGACAGTAAAAGGGTCTATGGGAAATGAGGGCATCTTCAAGGTAAGGTTTCAAGGAAAGAAAATCGCTTTGCATCTTGTGAGTATGCTGCTGTTATTTGCATGCTTTCAACACAACATATTTATTTAACTGAAAACAATGAAATACCATTTTCAGGTGCAATGAAACCAGCACACATCAATATGCTGAGATTGGCCTGCCATGGACTTAGGATGTGACAATGAATAGAAGGGGAATGTTCTGGAAAGTGAGTGCAGTTATTTCCAAATGACTTAGTTTGAAGACCCACAGAGAGGCTTCATCAAATGTGAATTCTTACAGAAAATGAACACTCATAAATTTCCCAGAGATGTTGGTCTCTCAAAACTTTCTTGAGAACTTGGATAGAAGGTTTGCCTTGTCACATTCTGGTTCAGCACATCCCACTTTCCTAAGCGCACACTTCACAACACCGAGCGAAGGATTTGGTTTGGAAGCAGTGTGGCTGTGCATAGCCTTCCAGCAAACATTACGAGGGTGTCACATCACTTGCCCTAGCATTTTCCATTCATTCCCACAGGTTTGTTTGTGTAAGGAGTAGACAATACTGAAGAAACCACAGTTCTTCTGAGTGACATGAAATTCAGAGAGGGAACAGCACTAATGGCTGGAAAACAGACATACATTAGGTTAAACACCTGGAAACATCCCTTGACAGTGAGATCTGCAGTCTGTGGCAAACACTCCCAAAGGAAGTAGAAGTATTTCCTTTGCTTGAATAATTTAAGTCCACACTGAATAAAAGACATACTGCAGTGAACAACTGTTCTCTAGCAGGAGATGCAGAACATGACCCAATACATCTTTTCTATCTCTATACGTTCCTGAGTATTGATTTTTTTTATGATATCCTCATTTGTTATTTAAGTCTGTTGTAGTTAGCAGTTCTTTGTCAAGTCACATTCATTATTTTTTCCTCTGCAGTGTCCTAAAACTGAGAAATTTGGAGATATTTTTCAGCTCACGGACAGGCAGTGCTCCAGCTAACAACTATCAGTTATCAAGCAAAGAAAATAATAGAGTAAGAAAGGACTTCCAGTAGTTTCTTCTTGACCAGAAGGAAGATATCTATAGAGCACTGGTTATATTGGAAAGGCAGAGCTCTTCAGAGGAGACACTGAGTAAACTGGAAGCACCACAGAAAAGAACATTCTAAAACCAATGATCTGATAACCCAAGCCATTCCCTGCCATGTGGGACCAGGAGGTTACAAATAAAATATACTGATGGATACCAGACACAATTATCACAAGCACATTATCTCTACTTCAACTGACTGGCACAAACTAAGTTTCTGTTTGAAGGTAGTAAAGCTGAAGAAGTGTGTATGTTACTAACTGTGTCGGCCAATTTATCTTAATATTAAAAGCAAACAGCAACAAACAGGGAAACTTTATTTTAGATACCAAAAAATAGAAGAAAAAAAGAAAAACAGTCACAGATTGCTCTGCTTAAAACAGGCTTTCTCGATAAGGCTAGTAGCAAAGGGACTTATTTTCTACCGAAGCATCAGCTCACCTCAGGAAAGGCGTGCAGTTCCCCTATGTGCTCACTGCTACAGCTGGTTTGATATTTTCCTCACATAAGTTTTCAAGTTTTGGCTACAAAACTACACGATTGACATAAATTTCAGCTGAAACATTCGAGTAGCAACCAGAATTTTCCACAGAAAGCAGACATTTTCAAGAACAAAAATATCAGTCAAAAATAGCTCTGTATCAAGAACAGTTTCACTGGGAAATTTCCAGCAAGCTGTTTTCAGAAGTACCCTTAAGCCTTGAAAGAAGCTTTTGAGAGATATATAAGATCGAGTGGGCACGGAGCATCTACAACACTCAAAATGAAAGGATGCTAATCCCATCAGTAAAGGAAGACAGAAATCCTAACAATGGTCTTTCTCTAGATAGATCAAGATTTTCTATTAAGCTGACAAGAGTAATCGGTGAACACGTAACTTTTTTTTTCTGACAAAGGGATTATCATTTTTCTAGTATTTTGAAACATGCCAAATTGTTAATTAATACTTTTTCTTTTTTTTTCATAATAATATCTCAAATGTAATAGGTCTGTGCAAAACTGCTTGATCAGTTAATAAACATCTTTAAGCTACATGTGGCATTGGCAGGAAGAACTTAAACTACAGATGGCAAAACAGATCTCTTTATTTGCACATCCTTCTCTTCATCTGCAATGCTAAAGCATCCACAAAAAAAATGAATGTTTTCTGCCAAATCAGTGTCAATTTCAACCAAATTATTCCTTTTGGGTTTACACCATCATTTGATCCAATTAGTCAAAGATGAACGCGTTAATGTTTTCTATCTGGATACGAAGCGTAACCAGTATCTAAAACTAAAAATGCCTGTAAGACTATTCTAGGTAAAAAATATCCCAGCCCTGATATTCCCATAGGCACTGCACAGGTGAAATGGAATAACACACACTGAGGAACAGTTAATAGGAGGACTGTGCAGTGCATTTTTAAACTATGAGTCTGCAAGTGAACCTGAACAAAAAGAAATGTCTGCTTAAATCTGAGATTAGAGTTTACACCCAGTTATAATAAAAATAAGAAAAAAAAAGCACAAAAATACAGACTTTACCAACTTGTTCGGTATTTCTTCTACTGCTTCTTCCTAGTCAACCTTTTTTTTTTCCTCAGAGATCTCTAACTTCAATATATCATTTCTCCAATTGTTTGACAGTTGTCTTCACAGTTGACTATAACCTCTGAAATGTATTTCCTAACTTGAAATACATAATTGCTGCTCCATTTCAATTCAAGACCCACCCTAAAACAAGTCAAAAATTAGCTGACCTACAATCCTGCCAATAACTCTGTTCTCTATTTTGACAGTTACCTATGGATTTTTTATTTTTTTATTTTTTGCAATAAACACTTCCAATCTCCTATCAGCATTTAGGTCCCTTCCTTGCACACATGGGAAGATTGGTGGCAAGTAACAGGGTTGTTACTGAGAATAAATGAACTGGAAAAAAACCTGGATAATGTTTGAAATTTTGTATTCCACATCTGTCAGAGTCTATTAAACACAGAGGCCTACATGCATTTTCCACCTGGGGATGTCCTACAATGGATGACTACTGGAATAATCTCTCTGTGTTATAGTGGCATACCTACTAAAAATCTATACACTTTTCACAGTAGACAAGATATTAGAAATAGATATGATTTTAGTCCTTTAGAAAGGACTTTGGAATCTTTAGAATACAAACAATGAGACTTCTAGTTCACGTGAAGAGCAACATCAAGCTCTGTATAAAAGGTAACTGCAGCCCAGTTACAACCTGGCTGCCAATGAGGCCAGCCTAGAAATATTTTGGGAAGCCATCCTGCTTCTTTTATGGCTGTATATCTCTTTGATTTTACATCTGTCCTAGCCAATCTGCCTTATACATTTGCAACTGTCTTTAAGAAATCTTGATAGATGAGCACAAGTTGAGAAGAAAGAAAAGTCCTCATATCTGATGCAAGGAGTGAAACCAAGATAAGCAATGTGTCTGCAAAAATGCAGAAATGTGGCTTTTCTAGGAACATTTTTTTCCTTAGAACCTTGAGACGCAAAGGCTGGAAACCAGTAATAGCACACTGTCTAAGCAACATCTTATTGGGGACTGCTCATTCAAGGCATGGATGGATGCTTTCCTTCATTTCTTACTTCCTAATAAGAGACCTACCTATTGTACACACAAAACAGCAAAACCTAAAAAAGGAGAATTCATTATTTACCCAGGTACTGACTGTGGGCTGCCTCAGCCATACCTTCTCCATGTAGCAACAGGCCTATCTCTTTCCCACTTGATGCTTCAGTTCGTTGTATTAATACTGAGAGCTAATAACGCCTCCCTGTTAAAGAATGATATCATAAGAATAAGGATCCTAGGACTTTTGCAACCAGTATATAACCACTCTGCAATTGCTTCAATGAGCAATGCTTGTGTAGGAATACCCCAAATCAATTCAGCCACCAGCTATTTAGGAATCTGTTCAGAAACTATGCTGCAAAAGACTTCCAAGAAGCATTACAATCATTATTTTTGCTATTACTATTAGAGGCAGCTAAGCTGACTCTAGTTCGGGAACAATTCCATTAGTCCACAGTTAAAAAAGAGTCAAAGTCACACTTAGCATCCCAGATAAATGGGCTGCACACGGTGTCCAAGAGTGCATTTGCTGCTGGTATTATTTGGCTGTTCCACTGATGGTCTGTGTTCACTGACTGGTGCATTTGAAGCTCTTAAGGATAAAGGAGAGGAATCACTGATTTGCCCGCTCTCAAATAGCTCATATAAACTGGATTTCAGTTTCACTCACCTTGAGACATTTTCTTTGATTTTCTGTTCCCAACACACAGGACTAGTGACAGTGCTTAGCCATAAATGCTCTCTGTGGTAAATACAGACTAATTAGTAAGTGCCCAGGAAGCTCTGGGTTTTGCAAATGCAAAGAAGAACATATGATATTTATTTTGTTTATTTTAGTAGCAATTGCTTTTTGTTTATTAGTAGAAAACAAGGCTGAAATTAAAGCCACATGAATATTAAATGAGGCTTTAAATAATTTTTTTTTTTTAGTTCTGCCCTGCAGATGGCTTTACTTAAGGGTACTGGCAATAAACATTCAGATATATGCACGCAAACCTGAAACAGACTGCTTTTATTTCTTAATTAATGATGTGAAAACTCATTAACAACACAGAGAGTTTTGAGTGACTTTTAGGTAAGCTACAATTTTTATCCTCAATACTCAAGTACAGCTCTTCCAAAATAGCTGAATCACAGTTAAAGCAGCTGCATCGAGGCAGGAGCTGGTGAGAAACCATATGATTTAAAGCCAGAATGAACAGAATTTTCCTTCAGGAACTCCATTTATTTTGGGGGGAAAA